GAGGCAAGCAGAGGGGAAATGGGGTGGGGGGGGGGATTATGTATGCAACCGCTTCTTACGTGTAACAATTAAGTTAGGCAGCCTATCATAATTATTACAAGTTTTGGTTTGCTCATGACACGCTCCATAAATTAAATGTCACGTTGCAAAAACAAAAAACAAACAAAAAGAAAACACGTTTACACACTGCTTGTATGGGCTCACTCATCTTCATTCCTTGATAATACTTTAGAGATGACATTACTACAACCGAAATATATAGGGTTCTGAGTTCCTTGAAGATTACAGTGGGTAGTTGGCAGAGAATCTGGGATGGTTTTCTTCGTCTTCCCTATCAATCATCGATCGTTCATCTTTCTCCTCCTCCTTTTTTGTGCATGTTATTCTTCTGTAACACATCTGGTCCTCGGCACTCATGTAACTTAATTGAGTTAAATGTGCTGTAAAACTCTTACTGAAACTAAAAGAGGTCATAGGGGGCAAATGCACACTATATATAGCAACGTGCAGAGTGCACTAAACAGGTTGAAATAAACAACAGGGAATCAAGATGGAGAGATACTTCTTCAAAGGGTCCCTAACCAGCATTTTATGTTACTTAGCCTCTGTATTGAACCACTGAACATTCTTAAATATATGTGTATTTGCTTCCGTTAAAGTCATTATATTGATCGTTGACTTGCACGACTTAGGAAAGGTACGTGTATTTTGACTTTTTAAAGGAAAAAAGGAAAAAGGAAAAAGAGCAAGGCATGGTAAAACAAAATGAAATGAATCTCTTGGCAACAGCTGTGTTGTGTCTGTTGATCTTTGCTGGACAATGCAATTCATAATTACTTTTTAACACACTGTTTTATGTTTCCCCTTCTCTTCAGGGTGTGATGGTTGGTATGGGCCAGAAGGACAGCTATGTCGGAGACGAGGCTCAGTCCAAGAGAGGTATCCTCACTCTCAAATACCCTATTGAGCACGGTATTGTCACCAACTGGGACGACATGGAGAAGATCTGGCATCACACCTTCTACAATGAGCTGCGTGTTGCCCCTGAAGAGCACCCTGTCCTTCTTACAGAGGCTCCCCTCAACCCCAAAGCCAACAGAGAGAAGATGACACAGATTATGTTCGAAACCTTCAACTCACCAGCCATGTACGTGGCTATTCAGGCTGTCCTGTCCCTGTACGCTTCTGGTCGTACCACAGGTATTGTGTTGGACTCTGGTGATGGTGTCACCCACACTGTCCCCATCTACGAGGGTTATGCCCTTCCCCACGCCATCATGAGATTGGATCTCGCTGGCCGTGATCTCACCGACTACCTCATGAAGATCCTGACCGAGAGGGGTTACAGCTTCACCACCACTGCCGAAAGAGAAATCGTCCGTGACATCAAGGAGAAGCTGTGCTACGTCGCCCTTGACTTCGAGCAGGAGATGCAGACCGCTGCCTCATCCTCTTCCCTGGAGAAGAGCTATGAGCTTCCCGACGGCCAAGTCATCACAATTGGTAACGAGCGTTTCAGGTGTCCCGAGGCCATGTTCCAGCCATCCTTCCTGGGTATGGAATCTGCTGGTGTCCACGAGACCACTTACAACTCCATCATGAAGTGCGACGTGGACATCCGTAAGGACCTCTACGCCAACACTGTCCTCTCAGGAGGATCCACCATGTACCCTGGTATTGCTGACCGCATGCAGAAGGAGATCACAGCTCTCGCTCCTCCCACAATGAAGATCAAGATCATTGCCCCACCAGAGAGGAAATACTCCGTATGGATCGGTGGCTCCATCCTTGCCTCCCTGTCCACCTTCCAACAGATGTGGATCTCCAAGCAAGAGTACGATGAGTCCGGCCCGGCCATTGTGCACAGAAAATGTTTCTAGTTTATATTCTGCAAGGAGCAGTCTGTCCCATGTTTTAGAGCATAGGGCAAACTATTTTAACTATGCGCTATATTTCCTTAGCTATGTCCACTTTTACGAACATGTTGTCCATTTCTGGTCTATATTTTACCTGGAGATATCTTCGAACAATTAATTATTGCTGGACATCTTTTCCTCTGGCATCAACGACAGACGGACAACGTAGCAATGTATTGGCTGGCCGACAAGTTACTCATCAGATGAAAAATGTTTATCATTAGTAAAGGGCCCCAGCAAACATTCATAGTAAGCCAATCACTACACATGCAAGTGAAATGAAACATCTAGAAGAAACGTTCTCCTTTGATGTCGGGCTTTTCGGCCCCTGTACAGGACGCTGTATTTGTGAATTCAACATTGACTGCCATCTACTTTACTGCCTGGGGAGTGCTACGAACTTCTACTTTTTGTTTTGCTTTGTTGAAAGCTGCTGTGTTCTACCTATTAAAAAAACCCTTTCTGATCGTGATGTTTTGAAAATCTCCTTTAGATGACGTTCAGATATTTTAAAAATATCTGTCTTTTTCCCCAAATCCTAAAATCTTGGTCATAGTGGCCTAAATGAAACCTCGATATACATCATGAGACCGAAACCAATTTTTTTTTAACTTTGACTTTGTTTTGTTTTGTTTTTACTTTCTTATCTTTATATGTGAAAGATAAAATAACATTTTATGTTGTAATTCTACTTAACTTCATAGCGACCATTTTCTGACTCACATCGGACCTAATGTAGAGTTCAGAAGGGTCTGGAAATGTCTTCGCATAAACATGATTGCAACTATTCGCACAAAAACTGAGCATAGTAAGTTATGTAGAACAACTGATTTCATATAAGACATTCCAGACAGGAACTGAGTATACAAAGAAAGTTATTCGTGGTCACAAAAATGCAAAATGAAGGCTTGCTTGTTTGTTTATCATTTTGTATACTTTAGAGAAATTGCTTTCTTTTAAAATTAGCTTTTCCCCAACCCCCCCCCCCCAGGAAAATAGAAGATTTCAAATACTCATACCTCTTGACAAACGTTTGATTGGTGTTTCTGTGTTTAGCTCTGTTCTGTATGAATGGTACCTATAGTGCTAAGTCAGTGGTCACCCGAGTGTGAATGTGAGTTTTCAGAGCCTGAATCTCTGTGTTCTGTTTAGAATAGTCTCTTCACGACTCTTCAGTGCTTTAAGTAGAGCTCACTTTTTTCGTCTTGATTCTTTCTTATGATTCTTTTTCGTTTGCTTGTCTTTGTTTTGTTTTGGGTTTTGATTGTTTTAGCTTTTTTATTTTACTTGTTTTTGTTATTTTTGTTGTTTTATTTATTTTGTTATGTGTTTGTTTAGCGCTGATGCTAGTCTGATTCATTCCATTCGATGGTCATTATTATTAATTAACGTTTCTATGATAGCCTAATAAGAAGAAGAACGATAATGATAGTAGTAATGATATATATATACCAATGTAATGGGGACAAAAACATTGTGTGTTATTGGGGATTTGAAAGCAATAGTTCAAACAGTTTAATGCGAATCGGTTGCTGTGGAAATGGTGGCAATATTGGATTTTGTATACCTTTTTCAATCCCATTTTATTCCCTTATTTATAAACTGATTCACTTCTAATTTGGCAGACCAACAGTACATATATAGCTCTTACATTTGGCTTGTTGAATATTTTATATATTCTTTCGTTTCTATTTTTTGACACTTGCAATTGGATTGTTGCAAAAAAAAGTGGAAAAAATGGAAATTTCATGTTTTCTAAGCCCATAAAAAACTGTTATATTAATCAAACCTTCAACAAGCTAAAATTTAGAACTACGTGTTGTTGGTATCTTGTGAAAGTTACATTGAAATAGAACAAGAAACAGAGCAGAGAAATGGGATAATGTATGAAAAAATAGAATTGTGAGAAAACAGCCGATAAAGGTAAGAAAAGGCTGGAAAACCTGTGTTTTTGCAGAAAAACCTGATAAAAAAGACAGCTTTAGGGTGCAAGGCTTACATACGTTACTGGTTATTGTTCAGGAAATGTTAAGGTACTATAAAATGTAATAACCCCTATCTGCATAATTTAACCCCAAAATACGATTTCTAGGTGCCCCACCAGCCCTTAAGGCAGGTGTGCAGTTTTTTGGGTTATAATTTAGTATAATTGTTACCTTCTCCATTCTTCCCTCCCACACAGCCCCCTTTAGAGAGAAAGAGAGAGAGAGAGAGAGAGAGAGAGAAAGAGAAAGAGAGAGAGAGTAGGGTGTGTGTTGGGGGGAGGGTCGTTCTCCTCTGCAGACTCGAGTCCCTCCGGATGTGAGTACATGTATATGTATATGAACCAACTATATATAAACAGTACAAGTCAGGGGTAAGAGCGAAGGTTCACAGACTCCTCCCATAAGACCATTCTGCGTCAAGTGTGGCGTGGTAGTAGGTGTCATGCCAGGACTCGCGTCACGAAGAACACAATGGAGGCTTGATGGGCTTAAAGACGTGTGTACGTTATTCCACTTTACCGCTCTGTTTGTTGGAGAAAGATTGGCCTCTGTGGTTGAGGTTTGGGACTTTTTGGACTTTCTGGACTAGGGACTGGGCGTAGCGACGTTAGATAAGTGAGAGTAACATGATGGAGTATGGTTCGGATTGCCGGATGACCCTCCTCCCACCCCCACCCCCT